GGGACCTATGCATTTTTGAAATGTCATTATGACCATTAATATTGGCTGACACTGTTCCATCACCATATTATGACGCTTTCTTTTCCTGATCCTAGTTAGGCGACTTCTCTGCCACATTCTAAAACTGATCTGAATGGAAGCCACAATGGGAGAGGAAGTTTTGCTTTGAGGGATATCATATTTGGACAGAGCATGTGCAGAGTCCATGATAACATCCTGGGACTACGTTTCCCAGAATTCCTTATTACCCCTGTGGAATTCCTGTGCAGGTGGAACTTCCTGAAAATTTTGTGTACAAAGGAACTCTAAAAATTCTGGGCATGCACGTGGAGGCAAGAAATACCGAGGCCAGCCATGCTGGTTAGTAAGGGTTTCTTCCTCCTAGGGGTCTGTAAAATTCTCCTTTGATGACCTAGTCTTCCAAAAGTAAATCTTCTCCTTGATAAGAACAAATTCTAACCCTGCTCATTGCCATTGAGTTGATGGTGACTCATCCCGACCCATATGGGTTTCCGACAGTGTAACTGTTTTTGGTAGTAGAAAGCACAGAGGCTGGTGGTTTTGAACTGCTGTCCGTGTGGATTGCAGCCCAATGTGTAACCCCTACACCACCAGGGCTCCTCGAGGGCTTGAATTCCAGCAACAATAAGGATGATTTGAAATCCTTTATAGCTACAGGCCAAGGGTCAGCCCAATGGGACATGTAGAACACCTCACTCACTCTAACTGGTTACACGGAAGAGAGGGGTGGACGAGCAGAGCTTGAGAAGTTTGTAGAAGGTGAGACGTAAGAATGAGTGACTCTAAAATGAGATGTTTCCTAGCCTCTCACAGCGTACAGTTATATATGTTAAGTTGCTGGATGCCCGCAAACCTCCCTAAACAGGGCTTGCCGGGTATTTGGATTCACATGGCACAGAAAAGAGACGTGTATCTGGACCACACTCACATTGGCAGAGGAGGAAATCCAAGTGTTTTGACATCAGCTCCCAGATCATGGACCACACAAGTGGGGAGAAGTGGGTCACACACTGGGCTGCTATCTTCAAGATCAGCAATTAGAAACCACCGACTACTGACACAGAAAGACGAGGCTTTCTATTCCTGTAAAGAGTTCTAGCTCAGAAACCCCCAGGGACGGCTAGTTCTACCCTGTCCTGTAGGTCACTGAGAGTCGGAACTGGCTTCATGATAGTCAATTGACCTACAGGACTTTCAATCGTGTTGCTGATCAGAGCAGCATGGGACTCCAGGGGCCTAAATTCTACGATTTGCTTTTAGATCCAGTTTTAAAAGCCCCCAATGGAGACTAAAAATCAAAGTTCTGTTGTTATCTGCACCTGGTATTTGACCTGTGGACCTCCCTTCCCCAACTCAGAAAAGATGGCCACTTTTGTTTTAAGATGTCCACTTTTACTACATATCTTATTTTTATAATCTTTTATATATAACAGACCCTTAACTATTTGGGGGCACGAAAAGCAAGTACTATTACCTTTGAAGGCAATTAAAAAAAAGATTTGTGGAACTTTTTGTCGCAGCAGTTCTAAGCCGGTGCAGGACCATCTCAGATTATGCCCTTGCTCAACAATGACTTAAGGAACGCCTGAAAGTTTAAGTGCTGAAAAAGTTAGTCACCTCCTTTGAAAGTCATACCTGCTTTTGACTCTGCCAGCCTCTTTGGCAGTCACACGCCTCTTCTTCCCTTAAGTTCACAGGCAAGGTACGTGTGCAATCACACGCCAGCCACCCTGAAACCAGAATCCCAGTATGCCGCTGCGCCCTCTGCAGGGTTCAGAACACTCTCCCACTGGAGCTTCATCTTGTTTCCTTAACTGCCTGTCTTTACGAGGCAGGGAGCAATTTTAGGGCCAGGACCCCAGACTAGTACGTGGATCAAATGTGAGGTGATGTCAGATAAACGCCCCTGCTCCTCAGTGTAGCTTTTCCACAGCCTAGACACTGGTTAAGAGATTGGAACAAACAAACCCCTCAGCCCAATCAATTCCATTTTTTGGAGGAAAAAAAAAGTTGATTTATATCGCGACCTGCAGTCCTGGAAGTGATTTGTTGTGTGAGAAGGAGCTTATTAGCATTCTGGTGAGCGAGTGCTCCCCACCAAGTCAGCTCTGGAGGAGGGATAGAGGGAATCATCGGGAACCCACCATAGTCCCAAGCCACACGAATCCACTTCTCTCCTCCTTTCTGCTCCCCTCCCTGGTTGACAACGGTGCTGAGCAGAGGTGCACGAGCTGCCAGGCAGGGCCAGGGTACCCCCTTGCCAACTAGCATGCTTTACTTAAGCAGGACTGGAGGTTTTCTTGGACTCTTATTGCAAATCGGAATTACAGGGAAAGGGGAGCAACGGTATCTTTTCACTACTTAGATACCATTGTTGCCTGGTTGGCCGCCATTGTGCCAGCCTCAACTCTTGGGACCCCATGCAGAATGGGAGGGAAGGCTGCCAGGCTCTGGCCATCAGCACTGAGCTGTTGTGATTCCTGGGGTGGTCCCTGGCTGACGACGGAAAGGTACCTGCAGACTTCTCGTCCTCGCTTGTTTACTGGAGCAGCTCCGCTAAAACCTGGTCAGCATCAGAGCACCCACAAGCCCTCCGCCGGCGTTAGGTGGGGGCTGCACACGAGTACTTTAGATGGAAATGGAACGGGGTAGAAGGCCAAAATCCTACCATCCTACCACTGAGCCACCAGGATCTCTAGATACTATCGGGGGACGGGGTGGGGGAGCTCAGAAATAGGTCAAACTGAATACAAGTAGGGTTCATTGTAACCAAAGCTGTCATGTGAGAGATGGATGGATAGGAGTCTTCTTAGTCGTCGTCCGACAACGTTTGCAGCACTGAAGAGAATGAACTCTGAAGCCAGACAGGTCTGGATATGAGTTATGCCTTTGCCACTTGCCAGAGATTGATTTCCCCTCGCCAGATTTCATCTCTCACCTGTAGCATAAGGAAGTGCTTGGCTGTGAGCTGAACTGGGTGGGTTGAACCTACCAGCCGCTCCTCGGGAAACAAGATATGGCAGTCTAAAGAATCCAAACCAAACTCACTGCCATCGAGTTGGTGGCCGACCCATAGTGACCTTACAGGCTATGACAGAACTGCCCCTGAGTTTCAGAGGCTGCAGCTGTTTATAGGAGTAGAAAGCCCCGTCTTTCTCCTGCGGAGGGGCGAGTGGTGTCTGTCTGCTGACCGTGTGGTCAGTAGCTCAATGCATAACCAGTACACCACACAGGTTCCAATCTAAAGATTGGAATCTAAAGATCTAAACTGCCCTATGGGGCAGTTTGTGTGTGTGTGTGTTTTCCTTTAGGGTTGTTATGAGTTTAAATTGACATGACAGACCCTAACAACAAAAGAATCTATCTCACAGGGAATTAGGGGGGGAAAATAAACAAAATAAACTAATATATATGAAAGTGCTTTGTAAACTAGTCTAAAAGAAATGCTTATGTAAATATCCTTTTAATATTCTAGAATTTTTGTTTCATAAATGTAGAGAATTGTGGTTCTGTCTTCTTAGATTTTTAAGATCAGAGATAATGTTGGTATGTAAAATTTATAGCACATTACCTAGCCCAGAGTAGATTCAGTAAATGGTAGCTCTATTGGTTATGACTCCCTGTTCCCCTAGAGTGGCCCTGACCTGTCTGGGACCTCTCTGCATAGGAGTGGGTAGAGATCAGGGAGGTTTCAGGGAAGGAGAATGGGGAGGTACATATGTGTTGATTCTGCCTGCCCAACATCCATTCCCTAGTCTTTTTGTAAAAGCATCTCTTTCCCCCTACCCAACTTTGGGTAATTTCTCTCTCTTCTCTTAGTCTGTGTGGTACACACTCCCCTTCACCCGTTTCCCCCATGGACACTTAGGATTTATTAGGAATTGAGTTGTACAGTATACCCCAAATATGTGCTAAGGTAGCTAGGCAATACTTCTCGGTATTATGTAATTATCCTCCATTTTGTAGCTTGATGTAAATAATCTCTGTGTTGTAAATCCTGACAAATGAGAATGAAGCAGGATTAGGTTGTATCTCTTTTATCATATAAGCGATGAAAGAAGCAAGTGAAGAGCAGAGGGACCCACTATCACCAGGAAGAGGATCAGGCGCAGATGACATCCTTGGGCCCCAGGTCCTTGCACTGGAAACCTTCTAGACCCAGCAGAAGCTTGAGAACCGTTCCCCAGAGCCGAGCAACCTGTGGGTCCTGACCCCTTTGGGGGTCGAAAGACCCTTTCACAGGGATCGTCCGATTCTTAACAGTAGCAAAAGTACAGCTAAGAAGTAGCAACAAAATAACGTTATGGTTGGGGGTCACCACCACCTGAGGAACTGCGTTAGATGGCTGCGGCATCAGGAAGGCTGAGGACCCCTGAGATAGAGAGAGAGTCTTTCCTTGCAGTTGGCACCGTCAGCTCAGACTTGTAACCTCCTAAACTGTAAGAGCGTAACTTTGTTAAAGTCATCTACTCGTGGGATTTTTTTGTTAGCAGCATTAGACACCGAAGACAAGGCTGGGCCAATCGGTGCATTCCATCCCACATCCCTTGTGGCCACTGTGATTGGTCTAGCAATGGACAACAAAACACAACCCTGAGTTTTTTGCTGAACCTCTTAGGAAAGAGAAACACTCTTTTCTGCAAGCCCACTTACATGGTAGCTTACATGCTTAGGATCAGGAGAAAATGAGGCCGACAGAGAGGAAAGAAAACTCTATGAGCTTGAGAAAGATGGTTCAGCAACGTGTTGGATGTCTGGAGCAGACCCAGTCTGAACGCCTCCACCCCTGTTTCTTCTTTACTTGAGCCAACAAATCCCACCCCAGCCTGTTAAAGGGTTTTTTTTCTTTCCTTTTTTTCCCATTTGTAACTGAAATTTCTGATTAATGTAATTGGAAAAAAAGTAGAAGTTGAATTTATTCCCATAATCTCAATGACATCCCCTCTATTTTCTCCTGGGAAATTCCCATGCTAGCTCACCCTGCGTCCGAATTCTTCGCCTTGTTTCACTTCCCGAGGATAGCCGTCAATCAGGAAGCCCTGGGTGTCGCCGAGGCTGGCTGCCATCGCTTCCTTCAGGAGTGCCAGCACGATGCCCTGGGGCAGAGGGAAAGTGAGCGGTCAGGACCAGGGCTCTTTCCACAGAACAACACCGGGAACACCACGGCACACACAGCCCAGCTGCCAGCGAGTAGTCATTTCACGTGTGTCAGAGGATTTCACTGGCTGAGTTTTGGGAGGTAAATTGTCAGGGCTTCTTCCAAGGGACCTCTGGGGGGCCTTGAACTTCCGACCTTTTGGTTAGCTCCTGAAAATTTTTATCAGCTGTGCACCCAGAAACTCCAGAATCACTACCAAACCCAAACCAAATCCGCTGACAAGGAGTCCCTTCTGACTCATAGTGACCCCATCTGGTGTTTCTGAGGCTGTACATCTTTATAGGCGCCGATAGCCTCATCTTTCTCCTTTGGAGTGGCTGGTGGATTTGAACTGCCAATCACCTTGTCATTATCGATCCAATGCTTACCAGGCAGCACCACTACTCTGCATTAATCCCCTTTTTACTGGAGGGGAAAAGGTTCAGATAAAATTAATAAAAGATACCAATACACCATATTTTGTCAATTCTAAATTCTATTTCTTTCTTCACCAGTTTATTGTTTATGAAAATTTAGTAGGTATCTTATAATCAGTGCTGGGACATAGCTAACCTGTTAATAGTGCTTTTTCTTACTGGTATAGTCTTGTTAGATGCCATCAACTCATTTCTGACCCATAACAACTGTATGGACAAGAGAGAGAAACACTGCACAGTCCCGGGCCGCCCTCACAGTCATTCCCACGCCCAAACTCATTGTTGCAGCCACTGTGTCAATCCATCTCCCTGGGGGCCTTCCTTTTTTTCGCTGCCCTTCCATCTTACCAGGGGTATATTCTTACTGGTTATATTTTGCTGGTGTGCCTTAAAATGGATGGCATCTTAGATGCAATGAAATAGAGTAGGCACACTTCATATTGGAGCTATCCATAAATTAGGCAAAATGGTGGCATTAAAGGTAGTCAGAGTATGGCATGCAATGTATTTCACTATTGATCTTTTTCCAGTAGACATTTTATATGATTTGACATCATTGCTATAAAAACACTTTTAGTAGATGAGAAGAAGCATTATCTTCTAGAAACATTTTTTCCACTGTTAGGGTTTTTTATGAAACACAAATGTGAAAGAGAAGGGGGTCTTGAAAGCTTGAGAATGAGTGTAGGAAAGATGTCATCCATTGCCTAAATGGGAGGACGTCCCCTGTCCCCTGCTGGTGTCCCCTGGCCTTTGACAGAGGCTGAGGGTATGGACAGCCTATCACAAGGGAAATAGGAATCTTTTCCTAAATAGTCATGAATTATTTCCATAAGAAGTTTGTATTCTTGTGAGGGAGACAGATAATAGATAAATATATCCTGATAACTGCTCCACACAAAATTGAAGCAGGGCGAAGAGACACAGAGAACTGGAGGTGCTATTTTAGTAGGGGTGCCAGGGAGGTCCTCTTCTGATATATTGTGACACTGAGGCAGAAATATGAATGAAGTGCGGGTAAAGGCACCCACACTGTGACCACCTGCAGGAAGAGCAGGCCAGGGTGAGGGAATAGCACAGACCGGGAGAAAGAGCCTGGCCCCTTGAAGGAACAAAGAGGTTGATGGCTGGGGAGAGTGGGCCAGTCGACAGTGTGAAGAAACAAAGTTGGAGAGGGGCCAGAGGACAGAGCCCATGGGGCCTTGCAGGCGAGGACACAAAACAAACACAACAATAAACCCAAACCAGTACTGCTGAGGCCATTCCCAATACGGTGAGCCACGGTGTATCCTAGCAGAACTGTGCCTCAGGAGATTTTCGATGGCTGGCTTTAAAAAAGCAGATGGTCAAGACTTTGCTGGCTAGCGGCCAAGCACGAAAACCACGTACACGACCTTAGGAGCCCTGGTGGCACAGTGGGTCACTTAGGAGCCCTGGTGGCACAGTGGGTCACTCATTGGGCTGCTAGCCACAAGGTCAGCGGTTTCCCCCCAGCAGCCATTTGGTGGGAGAAAGAGAAGGTAGAGGTTTAAAGCCTTGGAAGTCCACAGGGACAGCTCTACTCTGTCCTGTGAGGGCTATTATCAGTCAGAATCAACTGATGGAAGTTTTAAAATATATATTTTTTGAGGGATGCTGTGGGCCAGGGAAGGAGTTCTGGTGGTATCGTGTTGGGCTACTAAGTTCAAGGTCAACTGTTTGAATCCCCCAGTCACTGTTTGAGAGAACGATGAGGCTGTCTACTCCGATAAAGATTTTCAGTCTTGGAAACCCACAGGGGGAGTTCTACCCTGTCCCATAGGGTTGCTATGAGTTGGAATTGACTCGGGGGCAGAATTTTGTGGGCCAGGGGAAGGACTCTGATTTCATTCTAGATGGTGTGTTATTAGAAGGTTCTAGGGAAAGGGCAACACCATTTGCTAAATGTTGTAAAGGAACTGACCAGACTGCTGAGATCAGAGTAGACCGGAAGAGGAAAAAGTCGGAGCAGGGAGTAGGCGCTAAAGAGGCGAGGGCAGTGGTTGTTTTCTCTCTATGACGACCATTCTGGCTTTCACTTGGGGCATGGACTGCATCTGGCTAAGAAGGGAGCAGGGAGCTCCATTAGATAACAGAGCCTAGCATGGGACCTAGTGCGGTGGGGATTTAGTACCAATGACATCCAGCTTCTCCAAGACGGTCATGGCTTGATATGAACAAAGTTACACAAAAGGGATAGTCCTTATCTTACGTATCTAGGACGATACCAACTGCCACAGTTCTCAGAACTAGATAAAAACTTTATCATTTTCTATTTTCTGATTCTAGGCTCCGCTATCCCACATTCACCTCTGCTTTGAAGATTTTAAACTCCAATGTTTGGGTCAATCTTGGGGAAAATGGTAAAACAGGCCATTTTTTGTCTTTGATGCCCCAGTGGAATTTTCCCAGCTCCCACCTGCACATTCCAGAGTCCGTTGATGTCATGCCCTCCCTCTTGTGATAAAATATGTTCCCAGGAACGGTCTTATCTGCAGGTTATTTGGAATTGTTCCAGGGTGATTTCGTGAAAATGCCAAGTTCAGTCCCTGGTTTTCACTCACACCACGCTCAGTGCGACGTGTCCTTGCACTTGTCTCCTTCAGGAAGCATAAAATGTAGAGAGACAAGGTGCCCACGGAGCCAAGTAGAACTGCCAAGTGGGCTTTGTGGGGCTGCAAGTCTTTATAGGAGTAGAAGACCTAAACCTTCTCTCGTGGTTTCAAACCGCTGCCCAATATGTAACCCACTATGATAGCAGGTCCCCAGTATCTGGGTAAGAGGGCTAAATTATCAAAGAGCAGGAAGTTTGGGGGAAGCTAACATCCTCCATTCTGGAAGCGACAGTTAGTGGTTCTCCATTCTCCATTCCCTCGTCTCCTTTCCTGCTCACACCCAAGTTTCAACAGTGCACCTGGCTACCCAGAGATAAACTAGATTTCGCAGCTTCTCCTGCTGGAACACAGATGGTGGAAGGTAAGCAAGAGCGATGCGTGCCATTTCCAAGTTACGTCTTTGGAATCGTATGAGGCTCTCTTTGCCCTTGCCTGGGGCTGGGCTGTGGACATGCTGGTGGTGAGTTCGTTTCCACCCTGTTGGATAGCACTCGAGGGCCTGGCGGAAAGCAAAACAGAAGGACCCAGGCAGCACCTCTAAGTAGGACAGCGGTGGTATCTCCTCTGGACCTCCTGCCGCCTCGGGGGTTTCAAAAAGGAGAGAAATAAAGCACAGCTATGTCCCATTGGAGTTCTTTGCTGCAGCAGCCGGGATGAATGCTAACATTCCACAATACCTCTGGAGCCTGGAAAGGCAGCTGGGCAGGGCAGGCGGTGTTGCTTACCGTGGGAACCAGGCCTCCTCTTTCCATGATGTCTCTGATCACTTTGCTTCTTTCCGTTTCTGATGACAGCTCCCTGCGCAGAAGCTCACCGGTCGAGAGATGTGTCAATCCATATTTTTCCACCAGCTTTGTGCACTGTGTGCCTTTTCCAGAGCCAGGGCCACCTTGAAAAGAAGCCATGTAGTTAGTCATGCAACCCAAATCTTTATCTTTGCCTGCAGTCATCGTGGGGAGCCCGCCTCAGTGCTTCCCTGACCCAGCACGGAGGGTGCCCTGCGGTAGATGAGAAGCTGTGCTGAGGAGCTGCAGAGGTGAGGCAGAGGTGCGAGTTAGCTTGATGCTTTAGTTGGATGAATTCGGCAAAGTGGTTGTTAAAATGGCACTTCTTATTAGGGCTCTTTTATGTGAGGGGCTGTGGAAATCACAAATTTACATGGCTTATTATTTTTTAACATTCATCTGAGCAACCGTGGGTTCTAAGTGCCCATAGTAATGTTCATTCTGTCCCTAGGTATTACAATTTAGATGGAACTATGCTTGTAATATTTATTCATTCGTTTCATAAAGCTCATTATACTTTTGGTGAAATACTACATTTTAGTCCTTTGTATTTGTACTTGCACTTGTTTCCTTGGGTAAACATATAAAGAGACAAGGTGCCAAACAACCAGAGGGTGGCATGCAGCTGTCATTTGTGACAGCCTTGTTATGCCCCAAATTTCCATGAGATATTCTGAGTGAATCGTGCAATTCCTGAAAGCGTTCAAAGAGCTAAAAATATTGTCAAGAAAATTACTGTCAATTGAGCAGAAGCAGAAAGGGGTTTCTCAAAGAAGAACACACTAGGTTCAAAGAAGAGAAGAGGTCTGTTTCTAACATATCAAACCTAAGAACGATTGTCTTATTGGCCTCCCTCTAAAGAAATGGGGTTCTAACCCCACAGTGAAAAGCTGTTAAATCACAGTTGATGATGCTTGGGTAAAAGCAAAGAATGCTGCAAGTGAGGATGCCAATCAAGAAGCAAGATGGAACTATCTTAAATGACAGTTTTATTTTTTTGTCAGGCACTTAATATTTTTTCATTAATATTTAAAAACTTATAAAATAATCTAGTTTTCTGTACCTGCTATTGTCATTATTTAAATATTAACTATATAAAATAATAAAATGCCTTTTGCTATATCTTTTTTTATATAGTCATTGGAGTAGTGGACCAGTTGCTAAAGTATTTGAATCCCACCACAGATATAGGGGTAATGAGATAGCGTCTTCAGCTTCCAAGAGCGTACGGTCTATGGGAGAGAAGTGCAATTGCAGCAAAACAACAGGCAGTTAGTAGATAAGGAGGACTTCCGACTGCTGTAGAGGCAAAAGAAGGGCACAGGACTCCATTTTCCTAGGGAAGCAAGTCAGAGATGTTTCCTGGGGAACCGAATTCACTCCTCCAGCGCATGTTCAAAGTACTGGCCATAGCACTTTGTACCTCTCCTATCGCTTGGACCTTAGAAAGGATGTACATGTTTTAAAGCGAAGCTATGGTTTCTTGACAGGTACTTTATCGAGGTCTAGCTATGTCCGGAGACAGTGTTTTCCTCTCTCCAGCCCTTCCCGCAGGAATTCTGCTCTCTGAGGTTTCCCATGTCAAAACTGCAGTTTGGCATTCTTAAGAGACCCAAACTGTGTTCCTTCTAAGGTTATTTGAGGTTTAGAAACAAAAAGAAGTCTGAAGGGCAAGACCAGAGCTGTGGGGTTGGTGGGTACTGTTTCCCCGTGGTCATAGGACAGCCCTTGCCACCCTTGAAGAATGGGCAAGTGCATTGTTAAAATGGGGAAAATCGCTTGGCTCATTTGCCTGACTTTTTCTCGCCGATGCAGTTTTCAATTTCCTTAAAACTTTCTCATAATAAGCCTCCATGATTGTCCCAAGTCCATAGAGAAAATGTACCAAGATGACCTTTTTGGAATTCCCCAAATAACTGTAGAGCAAGCAGTATGGGAGGTCCTGTCTGACTTCCTCTGGCTCCACAACAGAGAAAGACAACCCATCTTCTCATCTGCCCAAGGCTTATTGCCAGAAAGCAGAAGTCAGACCTGCTTCCACCTGCCATCCTTCTTTTACCCTCTCCTGACACCAGCGGGTTCTCCTACAATTCTCCTGTTTCTGCTGGACTTGGCTGCTGGCTGTGGAGTGGTGCTGCCGAGGACCAGTGACCGGATCCTCAGGGTTTCCTGCTCTTGTATTGTGGCAACTGTGTACCTCCTAACAACCCCTTCTTCTCATTGTAAGTATTGCCCGTGAGTTCTCTGTGGCCACTGTCACTGATGACTGACCCCACCGGACAGTAGGCGTGGATGGTGTCAGAGTAGGGTAAAGAAGGATGGAGGGGGACAATAGGCCTTGGGCTGGGGAGGAGTTCATTCTCTTTCTCCCATTTTCTCACTCTCCTGCCTGCCCTGCCTGGCCCGCCCCCACTTCTTCTCTTGTCTCCCAACACTATCCCTTTAAGAAGCTATATCCTTCCAGACCCCTGTGCTTTGGCTCTTTCTCATCTTTGGCCCAGAAGGCCCTTCTTCCCTGCTTCTCTTCTCTAGTCTAAGAATCCCTTTCAACCCTTCAGTCTAACTAAAATGTTTTTGCCATGAAGCCTGCCCAGCTCTCGGGGGCAGGAAGTAACCCTCTTCTTCCCCTGCTCTGTGAGTGCTTCGGACAGCATGTGGATGCATTGTCCGTCTCACCCTTGGTCGCTATGTTTCTTCGCTGGGTTCTGCCCCGAGGGCCTCAGTGGCACTTGCACATAGTGAAAAGCTTTGTCCTCAGGCAGTGTTAGTAAGTGAATTGCTACGGTCCTGCTATCAACCCTACCCCCACCCCACCACACACCCAGCCCAGGAGCAGCCTAGTCATTACGGGCTTGCCTGGGTGTGCCCTTGATGTAATTGGGGGTACTAGGGGTCATATGGGAACCCTGGTATTGTAGTGGTTATGCATTGGGCTACTAACTGCCAGGCCAGCAGTTTGAAACTATCAGCCACTTAGCGGGAGAAAGAGCTTTCTACTCCTGTTAAGAGTTATAGTTTTGGCAACTCTCGGGGCCAATTCTACACTGTCCTAT